CCAGGTAAACATCTGATTATTCAAAGAAGACTTCAAATGTAACTAGTAGCAACTCCTCTTGAAAATGGACAAAATCTGGCATCGGAGTGTTGTCAAATACCCAGAGAAAAAAAAAGGGTTTAGCAGGACATTCATACTGACAGGGTTGCTGAATTAGTGAATGATGAAATTAATTAAAAAGGGTGGAAAATCTCTGGAAATGAAGAAATTCGACAAAAGAAAGAAAGCCAGAAAGATGAAGAGGAAACGAAAGAAAGAAAAGGAAAAGAATGAGAGACGAGGAGAGAGAGAAAGGAGAGAGAGAGAGAGAGAGAGAGAGAGGGGGAGGGAGAGAGAGAGAGAGAGAGAGAGAAAACGAGATAAAAAATCATGAAAAAAAAGAATAATGTGAGGGGTGGAGGGGTCGAGATAAATCAATTATGAAATAAAAAACGAAATGAACGAATAAAGAAAGATAAAGAAAAGAATGAAAGACGAAGAGAGAGAAAGAAAAACAATCATGAAAGAAAGAAAAAGAAATATGAAAGACAACGAAAGAGAGAGAGAGAGAGAACTATCATGAAAGAAAGAAAGAAAAGAAACAAAGAAAGAAAGAAAGGAAAGAAACAAAGGAAAGAATGAAGGAAAGAAAGAAAAGAAAGAAAGAAAGAAACAAAGAAAGAAACAAACAAACATAAAGGAATATGAAAGACGAAGAAAAGTGAAAGAAAGAATCACAAAAAGAAAACAAAAGAAAAAGGAAATGAAAGACGAAGGAAAGAAAGAAGAGAGAGAGCAAACGAAAGAAAGAAAGAAAGAAAGAAAGAAAGAAACAAAGAAAAAAGAAAGAAGGAAAGAAAGAAAGAAAAGAAAGAAACAAATAAACAAAAAGGAATGAAAGACGACGAGAGAGAGAGATCTCAGAAAGAAAGAAAAAAGGAAAAAAGAAGGAAAGAAAGAAGGGAAAGAAAAGAAAGAAAAGAAAAAAGAAACAAACAAACAAACAAAAAAGGAAAGAAAAACGAAAGAGGAAGAGAAGAAAGAAGGAAAGAAAGAAAGAAAAGAAAGAAAGAAACAAACAAACAAAAAGGAATATGAAAGACGACGAAAGAGTGAGAGAGAGAGAGCAATCTCGAAAGAAAGAAACAAAGAAAGAACGAAAAAGGAAAATGAAAGACGAGGAAAGAGAGAGAAAGAAAGAGAGAACTATCATGAAATAAAAAAGGAAAAAGAAAAGAATAAAAACGGTGAGAGGAAAAGACAATCATGAAATAAATAAAGAAACAAATAAATAAAGAAAGAAAAAGAAAAGAATGAAAGACAAGCAAAGAGAGAGAGAGATAGAGTGAGAGAACAATCATGAAATAAAGAAAGAAAGAAAGAAAAAGAAAGAATGAAAGACGAGGAAAAAGAGAGAGAAAAACAATCATGAAAGAAAGAAAAGAATGAAATACGAGGATAAACAGAGAGAGAGAAAGAAAACATTCAAGAAAGAAAGAAAGAGAGAAAGAAAAAAAAGAAAGAAAAATCTAAAAAAGGAAAAGAAACGAATAAAATACAAGGAAAAACAGAGAAAGAAAGAAAGAAAAATCTAAAAATAGAAAGAAAAAGAAAAGAATGAAATACGAGGGCAACAGAGAGAGAGAGAGAGAGAGAGAGAGAGAGACAGAACATAATCAAGAAAGAGAGAAAACAATAAGAAAAAGAAAAGAATGAAATACGAGGAAAACAAAGTGAATGAGAAAGAAAGCAAAAACGAAAGAAAGAAAGAAAGATAGAAAGAAAAATGAAATATGAGAAAAAAATTGAGTGAGAAAGAAAACAATCATGAAAGAAAGAAAGAAAGAAGAAAAAGAAAAGAATGAAATACGAGGAAAAACAGAGAGAAAGAAAGAAAGAAAGACAAAAGAATGAAATACGAGGAAAAAGGAGAGAGAGAGAGAGAGAGAGAAAGAAAGAAAGAAAGAATGAAAGAAAGACAAAATAATAAAATATGAGGAAAAGGAGAGAGAGAGAGTGAGAGAGAGAGAGAAAGAAAGAAAGAAAGAAAGAAAGAAAGACAAAAGAATGAAATATGAGGAAAAGGAGAGAGAGAGAGAAAGAAAGAAAGAAAGAAAGACAAAAGAATGAAATTTGAGGAAAAGGAGAGAGAGAGAAAGAAAGAAAGACAAAAGAATGAAACATGAGGAAAAGGAGAGAGAAAGAAAGAAAGAAAGAAAGAAAGAAAGAAAGAATGAAATATGAGGCAAAAGAAAGAAAGAAAGAAAGAAAGAAAGACAGACAAAAGAATAAAATATGAGGAAAAAGAGAAAGAAAGAAAGAAAGAAAGAAAGAAAGAAATAAAGACATAAAGACAAAAGAATGAAATATGAGGAAAAGGAGAGAGAGAAAGAAAGAAAGAAAGAAAGAAAGAAAGAAAGAAAGAAAGAAAGACAAATAAATGAAATATGAGGAAAAGGAGAGAGAGAAAGAAAGAAAGAAAGAAAGAAAGAAAGAAAGAAAGACAAATAAATGAAATAAGGAAAAAAGAAAGAGAGAGAAAAAGAAAGAAAGAAAGAAAGAAAGAAAGAATGTATGAAAGAGAAAGAGAAAGAAAGAAAGAAAGAAAGAAAGAAAGAAAGAAAGAAAGAAAAATAAATGAAATAGAGGAGGAAAAGAGAGAGAGAGAAAAGAAAGAAAGAAAAGAAAGAAAAAGAAAGAAAGAAAACAAACATGTAATAAAGAAAGAAGACAAGAATCATCTTGGGAAAGATTGAAAGACAAAAGTTAAATGAAGATGACAGGAGGATTTACAAGAGGCAGAGAGAAAAGAAAGCAACGGAAAAACACAGGGCAAAGAAAGTGGCATTTTATTGGCTAAATTAACTCTTGTGTTTACAGCAGTTCAAACTTCATTGACACGAGGCGACATCTGGCGGCATGTTTGTATTATTTTGACATCATGGCGCACGTAAAGGTCTGCGTGTTACGGGAGATGGACTTGAAAAAAAAAAAAGAAAGAAGATGAAACAGACCATTTTCGAAGAGAAGTCGTCATGCAACGGAAATGTCTTAAGTTTGTAATCGTCTAGTACTGAGAAAACAATGCAAATAATTAAAGAATTTCAACATGTTACAATAATAAGGAAAAATGCTTGCTAACAACAACAACAACAACAACAACAACAATAATAATAATAACAACAACTATAATAAGAAGAAGGATGAAAAGAAGAACAACCAATTCTGGTTAACAATAATAATAATAACGATGATGATGATGATGATGGTAATAATAATAATAATAATAGTAATAATAAGGACCAATTCTTGCGAACAATAATAATAATAACTATCTATAATAAAAATAATAATAATGACAAATTATTTCAAACTATAATAATAAGGACCAACTCAATCTAACTATAATAATAATAATGATAATAATAATAATAATAATAAAAGAGCAATTCTTTCTAAGCATAATAATAATAATAATAATAATAATAATAAGCAATTTTCTAACTATATAATAATAATAATAATAATAATAATGATAATAATGATGAAAAAAAGAAAGAAGATGAAACCCCCAGACATACAGAAAATTTTACAGCACACACACTAAGGAGAACTTTGTCTATGTAACGCTAGCAACTTCATCGGATAAAAAAAAAAAAAAAAAAAAAATTAAAGTTTGATATAACAACACACCAGACCTGCCTGAGGTCTTTCCGAAGAGAATCCAAATAATAAAATCGAATAATAATAATAATGTTAATAATAATAATTAAATGAGCAATTCTTGCTAGCAATAATAAAATTATCAATAAAATAATAACAACAATTCTTTCTAACTATAATAATAATAATAAATAACTATAATAATAATGATGACAACAATAAATAATAATGACTACTCTGCTAAATAACAACAACAATAATAATAATAGCAACAACAATAATAATAATAAGGATGATGATAAGAAGAACAATAATAATAATAAAATATAATAATAACAATAATAATAATAAGGACTAATGCTAACAATAATAACAATGATATCTATAGTAATAATAATAATAATAAGTATAATAATAATAAGGACCAATTTCAAACTATAATAATAATGAATAACTATAAAAATAATAAAAAATGACCTATTCTACTAAATAATAATAACAATAACTATAATAATAATTATAATAAAGGAGCAATTCTTTTTCTAACTATAATAATAATAATAATAATAATAATAATAATAATGAGCAATAATAATTTTATGGAGGAACTATAATAATAATAATAATAATAAGTTTAATCGCTATAAACAAATCTATTATAATAATAATAAAAGATAATAAGGATAATGATAATACCTAGGTGTAAATGAGAGTGAAGGAATCACCATAAGAAAATGAAAAAAAGTGCGTAAAGAGTACTATAGAAGGGCATGAATTAAAAACTGAATTTTCTATTATGGCAATAATATCCCAGTGGTCCAATTATCAACATAACTGACTCTAAATAATCAGACAAATGGATAACAAACAAGAAATTCTTTCTAACTATAATAATAAGGCTGATGTACCGTCTATAACTATAATAATAGAATCATACAAGACAACAACAATTAACTAACTTACATGGAAACAACAAAACTGGATGATAAAATTAATGAAACAACATATGAAAACAGAAAGAAAAAAATATTCAATAATAAAAATAAGGCAGTAAATACAAAACAACATTTATTTAGTAGATTCTGAAACAATAATAGAAGCCAAGACCAACTATTCTTTCAGGATAAATATGAAACAATAACAAATAATAATAATAATAAAAAATATAAATAACTAATAACAATGAAACTGAAATAATAAGGACTAATTTTCAGGCAATCAATAATAATGTGGATCCAATAAGCAGCAATTCTTTCTAACTATAGTAATAATAATAATAAAAAGTATAATAATAATAAGGCAAACCAATTTTGCTAATCGGCCAGCGCCGGTTATAATAATAATAATGAATACAAATAATCCAAAAACCAGAAAGAAAAAAAACTACTAAAAAATAGCAACCAAGGAATGAAAAACTAATGAAATAGAAAATTCTACTAACTATAAAAATAAAAACAAACATTAACTATAATAATAATTATAATAATAATAAGGAGCCATCTATTCTAACTATAATAATAATAATAATCATAATAATAATAATGATAATAATAATGATGATAATAATAACCTATTCTGCTAAGTATAATGATAATAATAACTAACTATAATAACAATAATTATAATAATAAGGACCACGTTTTGTTAACTATAATAATAATAATAATAATAAAATAATTCTTGCTGTTACATAGATAGGATCTGTGACAATGTTATGGTATTTTACAATGTACACAGACTGAACAAAGCTAATCTCCCAGATTTCGTGATCAAAAACAGAATGTCCTTTCTTATTTGCATGGCTCCTGAAGTTAGTTGTTAACGGCCAGTCTTCCAATGACGAAACGATCAACATAGGCGCCCTCTAAGGTTCACCTCTTTCCACTTTACATAAATGATCTGTCGAAGAGTGAACTCCGGTCATCTTAGGATGACACAACGGCATAGGGACATATCTCTAAAGCTCTAGATGACAGGAGTTTGGCAGCTTATCTTCTCCTCTGACCTTGCTTTGCTTGCTGGGTATGACGATAAACTACATCTGCATCCTGGGTATGACTATAAACTACATCCGCGTCCTGGGTATGACGATAAAATACATCTGCGTCCTGGGTATGACGATAAACTACATCTGCGTCCTGGGTAAGACGATAAAATACATCCGCGTCCAGGGTATGACGATAAACTACGTCCAACAGCAAGGCCTCTGATTGGGAGGTTTTGAAGAGCGTGGAACCCCCTCTTAATTGCTGGTGTTCCCAGGTCCGCCCTAACCTGGGGTGGTAGCACCTGTTAGGGTCCCAGCTATGGGCAAATAGTTAACCGCGATACTGAGGTAAAAAGTATTATAAAAGAGTAAAAATAGGTTTTAATACCAGAAATACTTTGTAAAAATTATTACCAGAAATAAATTTTCAGCGATAAGGTTTTGAAAAAATATTGCCAGCTATACGTTTTTGGAAAAATAACGCTTTTGGAACTATAATATTACCAGCTATACGTTTTTGGAAAAATAAGGTTTTTGGAAAATAAGGTTTTTGGAAAAATAACGTTTTTGGAAAAATAATGTTTTAGGAAAATAAGGTTTTTGGAAAAATAACGTTTTTGGAAAAATAATATTACCAGCTATACGTTTTTGGAAAAATAACGTTTTTGGGAAAATAACATTTTTGGAAAAAATAATATTACTAGCTATACGTTTTTTGGAAAAATAATGTTTTTGGAAAAATAACGTTTTTGGAAAAAATAACGTTTTGGAAAAATGATATTACCAGCTATCCGTTTTGGAAAATAACGTTTAAAAAAAAAATCATATTACCAGCTATACGTTTTTGGAAAAATAATGATTTTGAAAAAATTATATTACGAGCTATACGTTTTTGGAAAAATAATGTTTTTGGGAAAATAACATTTTTGGAAAAAATAATATTACGAGCTATACGTTTTTGGAAAAATAACGTTTTTGGAAAAATACCGTTTTTGGAAAAATAACGTTTTTGGAAAAATGATATTACCAGCTATACATTTTGGAAAAATACGTGGAAAAAATCGTTTTGGAAAAAAAATAACGTTTTAAAAAATGATATTACCAGCTATACGTTTTTTGGAAAAAATAACGAGTGTTTTGGAAAAAAAATACATTTTTGGAAAGCATTGTCGCCATATTTATTACAACGTTTTGGGCTTTTATATCGTCTATATTTTTGGAAAATAACGACTATTGTCTCATTTTTCGCCATATTTATTACAAAATTATATGAGATATTATGTACACTATTAACATTATTCGGACTATTGTCCTCATTTTGGAAAAATAATGTTTTAAAAATAACGCATTATGTTTTTATTAACATTATTTGGAAAATCATCTTTGTCGCCATATTTATTACAACGTTTCGGGCTTTAGTATCTATACGTTTAACATTATTCGACTATTGTCCTCATCTGGGAAATTTATTACAACGTTTTCGGCCTTTCAGATTTTGAAAATATTTTGAGATGATATTAACATTAGACTATTGTCCTCATCTATGTCGCCATATTTATTACGCCTTTCAGTATAACATTTTATTATTCGGACTATTGTCCTCATCTTTTTGGAAATTTATTACAATGTTTCGGCCTTTCTGTATCTGTTCATATTTTTTTATTAACATTATTCGGACTATTGTCCTCATCTTTGTCGCCATATTTATTACAACGTTTCGGGCTTTTAGTATCTGTCTATATTTCTGAGATGAGGCATTATGTACACTATTAACATTATTCGGACTATTGTCCTCATCTATGTCGCCATATTTATTACAACGTTTCGGCCTTTCAGTATCTGTCTATATTTCTGAGATGAACACTATTAACATTAGGATTGTCCTCATCCTTTTTCAAAGCATTTCAGTATCTGTCTATATTTCTGAGATGAGGCATTATGTACACTATTAACATTATTCGGACTATTGTCCTCATCTTTCGCCATATTTATTACAACGTTTCGGGCTTTTAGTATCTGATAGAGAGATGAGGCATTATGTACACTATTAAGGATTATTGTCCTCATCTAAGGAACGTTTGGATCTGTCTAGGAGATGAGGCATTATGTACACTATTAACATTATTCGGACTATTGGTCGCCATATTTATTACAACGTTTGGAGATGTCTATATTTCTGAAATGAGGACATTAACATT